AACTCACCTTGATCCTCCTGCCCCAGCCTCCTGCGTGCTGGGATTACAGCCAGGCACCGCTGGCTCCTTGGTTGTTTTACAAAGCCCTCTTGTTGTTGTTTGTTTGTGGTACTGGCCCTGTAACTCAGGGCATTCACGTGCCACTAGGCAAGTGCTCAAGCCCTCACTTACATCCCCAGCCCTTTTTACATTTTATTTTGAGACAGTATCTCACTAAATTGCTCAGACTAGTCTGGATTTTGCAATCCTCCTGCCTCAGACTTCCAAAGAACTGGGATTAAGGGGGTATGCCACCATGTGTGGTTTAAAAAGCCTTTTAACAATAGTTTCCTTTAACTCGTAAAGATGCTAAATTTCCCTCCCGTTTTGCTGCTTCTCTTCATGTGCCCAGTAGTGCTTTTTAAAGAATAGCACAAAGGAAAACATGGGGGTGGAACACAGGTACAGCATCTATCATGAGGACCGTGTGTCATCGGGGATAAGAGATACTTTTCCTGTGTTTCCTCAGGGACTAAGCCTAGCCCTCCAGCCTGCTGTTGATACAGGGGGAAGAGATGTAACTCCTGAACCTACTAGATGCCCGAAACACGAGTTTGTGTTCTCTAAAATCGAAGAATGGATTCTAGGAACAATGGAGGTTAAGAGTAGGAAAAATTTATTGGGAGAAGGAAAGCTTCTGCCTAAGAGAGACAGAGGGGGACCGGAAAGTGGGATGCCCACCTGCCCCCCTTTTCAAAGATGTTTTATACAGCAAAGCCATGTGGTGAGGCGGGTACAAAGTGGGACAAAACTGTAAGACCCAATGGAAATTTACAAGGTGGGCATGAGGTGGGACAAAGCCATGACCAACCAATGAGATTACAAGTACAGTCACCCAGGTGATATTGATTAAGTGGGGGTCAGATGGGAAGACAAGTCACATAAAGGAATTTCCCATTTAGACACCTAGATTCTTTTTTTTTGAGGGGGGGACGGGGTTTGAACTCAGGACCTTGTGCTTGCAAGGCAGGCAGTGGGACCACTGAGCTAAATCCCCAGCCCTGGAATTTCCCATTTAGAATATCAATCACTCCTATTTATCTCTAGAGGAAATAGTACTTCTTTTCCTTTTTACAGTGCTAACCAGTGAATGTGTCTTAGTTGTTCTCCATGCTGGCTCCTTGCTGTGTTGGCTCCTGGAGGGCTGGCGCCTTAAGGGAGGCCCTGTCTACCGGCCAACCAGATATCTAATTAACTTATCTATCTATAATACTGTGATGGGCTCTTCCCTGGCACAGCCACCCCACATAGGGAGTCCCATAGAAGGACCCTAAACTGGGCACAGTGGTGCACACCTGTAATCCCAGCACTCGGGAGGCTGAGGCAGGAGGATCGGCATGAGTTCCAGGCTAGCCTGGGCTACATAGGGTGACTCATCTCAAAAAACCAAAGGTGGAGGTAAGCTGTGTCATCCAAGTGGCCCTGGGAATGGCCACGCCATGGGCTGCTGAGTCTGCTCCTTCTCCAGGCCCACGACCCTTCCCCCAAAGCCACCTCAGCCACACCCCGCAGCAGGAGCCTCTTATGGCAGGCTGCTCAGAAGCCTTCCCCTCTCTAGGCCTGGGGTGCCCTCGCGCCCCCAGGTCCCCACAAACTGCGCTTCTAAGGGGCAGGCACAGCCGGAGCCCAGTGGCACCTGGGCAGCACCTGGGCGTGTCCTGGCTGCAGCTCGAGCTGAGGTGGGCGGCAGGTGGGGTGAGGCTGCAGTGGCAGGAACACTGCTCACTGGCCATCAATGGCTCCCCTCGGTCGCCCTGTGTCCAGCCACCTCTGAATCCTGGCTGCAGAGGGTCTGTGTGTCCCGACTTCAGAGCAAAGGGCCGCTTGTCTCCTGCCGGCCTCAGTGCCTTGGCCATGAGAAGCCCAAGGCCCCGGCTTCCAGCTTTGAGCACTTCAAAGCTAGAATGCGCACGCCTCTGCCTGCAGGACAGGGCCAGGAGGAACCTGGGGTCCGGGCAGATGCGCCTGGTGTCAGACCCGGCTCAGCCACCTGGGCTGTGTGGCCTCCAGCTCAGCTCGGCCTCTCAGAACCCAGCGTCTCCCCCTAACAGGATGACATCATCCTCCCCGGGCCTGGGGCGAAGGAAGCGGGAGCAGGCGCTGTGCAGCCTGGACCTCCGGGAGCCCGCAGTTGCCTACCCTGGCTGGCAGCTGCTCCCCCAAGGGAGTCGCCGTGGATTCCCTAAGTCAGGGGAGGCCCGGCTGAACTTTGAGTCGCCGGGCCCCCTGCATGGCCTCCCTGGCAGGACAGGAATGGGCTCATCAGACTTCCAGCCTGTGCACTGGGGCAGTCTGGGCCCAGGTCCACAGGGCTGCTCGGCTGCCTCCCCCTTCACAGCCTGGGTGCTAGGCCAGAAGTCTACCTGAGAAGTGATCATCACAGCCCCACTCCAGGCTAGGCGTACTGGGGCACAGCCTGACAATTCAAGCAACAATGACAATATCTACCTGGCCATGGTGGCACACGCCTATCATCCCAGTACCCGGGAGGCTGAGGCAGGAGGATCACCGAGAGTTCGAGGCCAGCCTGGACTGCATAGCGAGACCCTGTCTCAAAAATCAAAACTCAAAGAAGTAAAAAAATGCTAACAACAGTGTGACCCACGGCAGGATGAAGAGGAAACTCCAGCTGCCTTAGAGACTTTCCAGACCCCAACTTTTCCCCTCTTCTAGAAAGATAGTCATATTGGGAATGTAACAAAAGTCCCATTTTTTAAAAAGGTACCTTTATAAACCAAGAATATCTGGCTCTGTGCTAATGAATAATTTCTTAGGTGAATAAGATCACTTTGTTTACAGACATGAGACACACGATCCTAGTCATGTTTATTAATTTCTGAAAAGGTGACATTCTCCCAGATTCTGGTTGCCCTGGGGATGACTCGGAAGTACTTCCCACCTTGATGCAGGGAAGAAACCACCCGAGGCCAGGGGACTCCATTCCTGACAGTGTGGGAGCATTTTAGGCACTTATTTGTTTATTATTTATTGATTGGTTGATTGATTGTATGCTGGAGATCAGACCCAGGGCTTTCCCACTGAGCCACACCTCCAGCTCTTTTTATTTTTATTTTATTTTTTATGTTTTGAGACAGGGTCTCACTAAATTGTCCAGACTGGGTTGGAATTTTCGATCCCCCTGCCTCAGCCTCCCCGAATGCTGGGATTACAGGTGTGCACTACCACACTTGCAGCAGAAATGATTTTAGATGAAAATGAAAAATGCAACGATAGAGCCTTTCCTCCAGGCTCTGGGGATGTTGACTGTAAAGCACGATGACAGAATCCAGGACAGTTTCTGCTGTCCCCTCTCTGCCACAGGGCCTGCTGTGACCCAAGTCCAGGCCGGAGTCTGCAGCCAGGCCCTCAGGAGCATTCCAGGCAGCTGGCTGTCTGGTGGCTCCCAAGAGTTCACCGGAAGGATTCCTGGCTCAGCTGAGCACCGGGAGAGGGGTGGGCTTGGGTGAACAGCCAGCACCTCTGGGGTCCTCTAAGTGGGGTTAAATATGACAAAGCCACTGCAGAATGCGCCTGAGAACCCGGCGCCTTTGAAGGACGGGGCAGGCGAGGACAGAGGCAACTTCTGGCTGAGCTGCGGGCTCGCTCCTGTTGGAAGGGAGATGGCCCGGGAGAGGACAGGCGCCAGGGAGGGGCACTGGCACCGTGGGGAGAGGGTGCTGCTCCTGCAGAGGACTGGGCCATCCGCTCCTCCTCGGGACTCCAGGGCCCCTGCCTCACGGGTCAGCTCGAGTGGCCACCTGCGCGGTCTGGAAACCTGCAGCAGCCCTTACTTCCCTCCATGCGCTCCTGGGAGCAATCGCAGATGCGCCCTGCCCTGTGTCTACCTGTTGACACTCTCTGTAATATGTCTCACATATGGAAGTGGGACAAATTCCAGACCAGAGGTGGTTGTTACTTTACAGTGTGCGACAAGACTCCAGCGGGTGAGCAGCCTGGGAAACGTGTCCCCCGCGGAAGGAGACCGGTTCCACCGGTCGCACAGGATGGGCGCTGGTCCCTGCCCACAGCGCAGCCACCGCACACGCGTGCTGTGAGCACACCAGGACCAGGCGGACACGGGCTGGGCTGCTGGTGACCCGGCAGGACTCGGCTGGTTCGACTGCTGGGTCTGGCTACGGCGTCAGAAAATGATCAGACTTCCCCCCAACCTTCCCTCTGTTTCCACTGAAAATAACAGGAGAAAAGTCGCCCTGCTCACCCCCTGGACTGGGCCCAGGAGCTGGTGTGCAGCAGGCGGAGGGGCCGGGAGTCCTCGCAGACAGCTGGGCGGGAGGCCTGGTCCTGCTCTTCGGAGGCCCTGCGGGGCTGGGCCAGGACCCCTGATGGCCGGCCGGGGCGGGGCGCGGCTCCAGCCCAGGGTCCGATCCCAGGCCTGCGGTCAGGGTGTAAGCGGGTCCCCTCCCTGCCAGGCCGCTGCGGGCTCCTGCGCACCCCCAACCGCACAGCGCACCACACACCCTGCGCCCCCTCGGCCCGCACCCACCGAAGCCGGGATGTCTTGGGCCCCTCTGCGGTCGCACAGTCCCGAAGGCCAGGCCCGCGGGGTCCCTGGGGCTCTGAGGGACCTGCTGCAGCCGCGCCCCGCGGAAAGCGGTGATGGGGACGGAGGCGCCTTTCCCTGCGCGGCGCTCACACCTGCGCGCGCACTCAGTGCGCCGGGGTCGCGCTGATGAACCAGGGTCCCCTGCCCGCGTCGCGAGGAGGGACTGGCCAGGCCCTATCACCTCGCCCGAGAAGTCACCGGAGGGACGGGGGGGGGGCACGCACGTGGGGTGAGGGCCGCGGGGCCTTTAAGGGGCGGAGGGGCGGTTCCACTGCGGGGGGGGGGGGCGGCGGCCCGTCCCCGCCCCGTCCCCGCCCCGTCCCGCCTCCCCTGCCCCACCCCCGGCCACTTCGGCTGGGCGGGGAGGAAGCGTTGGCTCCGGCGCCCAGACGCGCTCCGGCTCCGCTCCGCCGCCCGCTCCGCCGCCCGCTCCCAGACGCGCTCCCGGCTCCGGCCGTGGCCCTCGTCCCGGCGACGGCCGGGGATGCGCCCGCACCATGGCCGCGCTGGGCGGGTGGCTGGGCGCGGCGCAGTGGCTCGCGCTGGTGTCGCTCTTCGTGGCCGCGGTGGCCACCGTGGGCCTGTACCTGGCGCAGTGGGCGCGGGCCAGGCCACGGACCCCGCGCGGGCGCCGGCCGGGGCGGCCCGAGGGGCGGCAGCCGGACGCGCTGCTGTCGTGGATGCTGACGCTGGACGGCTGGGGCGCGCAGTGGCGGGCGGCCTGGGTGGCCGCCCTGAACGCCGCGGCCGGCGGGACCCGGGTGAGTGTCACTGGGCGGGTGGGCGGGCGAGGGCGCCCTGGAGCAGGGCCAGTCACGCCTGCTCCCGCCCGAGCGCGGACCGGCCAGCCGCGCCCCCTCCCGGGACGCTGCCCGGGCCCGGCCTCCCTGCGGGGACCCGGGCGGTCTGGTCTCAGGGTCCCGCTGGACACTGACTGATCTCGCGCCGACAGATGAATAACTGACCCAGATACGCCCCCGGCTCTAACTCCGCTGAACTTTGCCAAGAACTTGTTTCCAAGCGGCTTGCGTTTCTGGACACATAAAAGGGCATCTATCATTGGCCAGCCGCTGGCGGGCCTGCCCTGGGCACTGTCAGTGGCCCCTCACCTCTGTCTGAGTCAGCGCCGCTCCGCGCAGGTGTCCTGGCCGTTGTGCAGGCCATGCAGCTTTGGCGGCAGGCAGATGTGACCTGGGTCATCTCTGGGGTCAGACTCGGGAACTCATTACTCAACTCGGCCGCTTCGCACTCCTGTGGCTGTTTCTTCCATCACTTAACGACTCGGCGACTTATTTTTGCTTTTAAAGCACCCTAGCTTGATGACAAGCTCCCCAAGGCGTCTGCTATGTAGAGGTGTCCTGGGGGGATCAGGAGTCAGTGGGCTCGGGAAGCGCCGCCCACTGCTGGCTGCCCCTTGTTCAGGGGTGAGTGTGTGTTCTTGCACCTGCTTGTGCAACCCGTGGTTAAGCCCAAAGCCCAAGGCTGTTGGCCTTGAAAACATGGAATGCCGTGTGTACGGGCCCAGCAACCTTCAAAATATTCCGAAGCAGCCCAGCCTGGCCTTTGTCCTGAGGCCTCGGCACACCACACGTGGCTGTGAGATTAGAAAACCCAGAGCTCTGACTAAATTAGCATGGACCCAACATTCAAGTTCATGTTCTGAGCTCTTGGAAAAGATAACTGTCACTCCAGATGGAAGAAGGCCGCAGGGTCAGCTGACTTGCATCTCTCTGGTTGCCTGGAATCACTTCCCCAGCCTGTGACAGCTGGACATCCACCCCAGGCCAGCCCTGAGCCCCCGGTCCTCACCTGGGCAGACATGGATCTGTCTCCAGGAAGCTGCTGGCACACGGCTTGACAGCTGTCACAGGCTGTGGGCTGGTGGCCTGCACCAATGCCAGTCTGGTCCTTGTTCTCCTCAGGGTTTGAGGAGATGCTGGGGGAAGCATCCGCAGGATTCTGGCAGGGGCTCTGCCCGAGCTGGGCCCAGAGGCAGCGGCCACCTTGCTGCAACTTCAGGAGGGTCCCCATTGGCTTCCTGAAGTCTACTGCGGCCTGAGCTAGAAAGCTTCTGGCTTCCTCGAGCCTGGGGGTCCGACAGAGGGAGGGCCTCCCTGCCCTGCCTGTGGGTTGGTCCAGCTGAGAGTCCCAAAGAATTTGAGGGCCTGGGGGAAAACCTTTCACCTAACCACTTGTATCTTTGGAGAGCAGGGCTTTTGTGTTCAGGGAGGGGAAGGAGATTTGGCTTGAGAGTTTCTCTGTCCTTTCTCTGTGGCTGACAACGCACACTTGTCTGACATCAGTTTCTCTGGAGTGGCTGGCTGGAAGCAGCAGTAATACTCTGGGTTTGAGCTCAAAGTAGCCCAGAGTCTCCCATGATATTAAACATTTTTTTTTTTTGAGACAGGGTCTCCCTATGTAGTTCAGGCTGGCCTTGAACTCACTATGTAGCCCATGCTGGCCTCTAATTCCTGGCAATCCTCCTGCCTGTCTCCTGGCTGCTGGGATGACAGGTGTGCACACCATGCCCAGCTCCTGTGGTATTTCTGTGTGGTTGTGGATCTGTTCTTTGGTGTGGCCTTGCTCTACTTTCTCGGCCTGGGAGTGCTGCCTGATTTAAATTGAAATGGAGGGTTGTGCGGGCAGATAGGATCTGGTAACCGCCGTGCCGCCCTCCCGGCTGGCGGGCAGAGTGGGTGAGCAGGTGCTAGTTGAGTTTCTCTCGCCCTCCCCCTCCAGCTCACTAATCCCCGATTAGGGCTCACACTCCCAGCCTGCTCTCGGCCCAGGGAGCCGCCCGCAGCTTAGTGTCTGCCCTGCCCCCTGCCTGTGCTGGTCCCTGTCCCTCGGCCTGCTCTTGGTCTGAGCCTGGTGGGTAATGGCGTGCTTGTCCCCTAGTCTCTCATGGAAGGTGGGATTTTCCGGCCAGTGGAGGCAGCAACGCCTCCCATCCAGGTTTCACCCAGCTTTGTGTCCTGGGGTAGAAAGGAGCCCCACGCCTTTCTAGCCAAGCCCCTGAGACCCGCTGAGGTCAGCCAGGGGCCCGGCTGGCCTCTTCCTGGTCCGTTCCTCCCACAGCCATGTTCCCCGTGGGAAGCAAACTGACCTCTGAGACCCAAGTGTTTCCTTTGAACGAGATCCAGCGAGAAGGCTGAAGGGTAGCGCTGCTGAACGTTGCTCTCCTATCTCCCGGGATCTATGGGTGGAGTGCTGCCTGGTGGCTTCTGCCTGGCCTGCTGACCAGTGCCCAAAGCCATCCAGGTTCCCCTTGTCCCAGGCCACCCCGGGTTCCAACTCCACTCTGCAAATGGTTCTAAATCCTACAGCACGAGTGAGACACCAGCGAGAGCACCGCTGATCTGTCCGCTGTCCGCGTGTTGTTACCAGAGACCTAGACGTACGCGTGTCCCTGCCACCAAATTCATACTCAGAGCACGTGGGATGGCAGGACGTGGGCACCACAGAATGGCCCGGGATCCCCAAGGATTAAGAAGCTGGGGTCCACGGCACTGACGGCCCCCAGAGGCCCCAGGCGACCTTTCCTCAGCTCCGCCTCCTCAGCTCTGGGAGCCAGCTGCCTGCTACTTCCCGCGAGGACGCTCCCCAGAGTGAGGGTCCCGGTCCTTGCTATCACCAGTGCTGTGGGGCGTCAACTCGTGCCCCTTCCCAGCCCCAGCTGGCAGAGGCCCTGCACCAGGACAGCCCCCAAAGCTGTTGGGTGGTGTCTTCAGTCTTTCAGCCCAGGCTTTCTGTGGCAAATGTTCTAAATGCAAAGGATGGTGGGCATGGTGGCACACGGCTGTAATCCCAGCACTCAGTGAGGCTGAGGCAGGAGGATCACCCCAAATTCGAGGCCAGCCTGCCTAGAGTGAGTTCAAAGCCAGTGACCAAGACTATCAGACAACTTGTGGTCTTAGTGACTGAAGGATGCCATGTGAACCTAGGATACTTTGTGAGTGCCGCAGGCTCGTCTTTATAAGCTCTGTAATTTATAGTCAACAGTATGGCCACAGGCTGAGAGTCCTTCCATCGCAAATCAGCCTCCCCACAGCGCTAACAAAAACCCAAGCTCCATGACCGACCAGCGACGCGGCCATGGCAGGGAAAGGCCCCGGGGAGACCACTGCTGGCCCTCCCTATGGTGGGGGGAGGGGTGGGGTCTGCCGCAGCTCACACCTGTGGGCTCTTTCCGGTCAGGCCTGTCCCGGGACCAACCGCTCCTCATGTCCTTGGGTGCCTATCTTTTTCTCCTTGTTTAACCTCTCGTAATCTTGGAGGTCTGGCTCGGAGGTGTTGGCCGGTGCTCCGGTCCTGTGAGGGACCCTGCTTCTCCCAGCGGGCACCTGCCCCACCCTGGCCCCGGAGAGCACCCCCTACATTGTCCTCCAGGAGCTGGACCCATGCCAGCCCCAGCAGGCTCAGCTCATCGGCCGGTGGAGAGGACAAGCAGTGGCCGTGCCCATCCCGCTGCCTGGACGCTGGTCTCGGCCCAGCCTGGGCAGAGCGAGCTGCTCAGTGCTTCATCTCTGGCTATGAAGAATGAGCTGGGAGGAGCTGGCCTGGACTCTGCGGAGTCAGCGAGAAGCAGGGAGCTGCCAGCTCACTCTCTCTCACCCTGCTCCCAGCGAGGCGAGAATTCAGGAAAGATCAGGGTCACCGCTAAGCAGGACCCAAGCCGGCCGGTCAGGAGGTCACCGAGGAGGGAAGGGGGACCTCGCTGTGCACTGCCCTGCATCACTGCCCTGGTTTGAGTTCCAGCCCTGGCCTCGATGGCTGTGTGATCCTGGCCAAGGCCTGGCTTCTCGGCACCGTGCGCGGTCTGGGACAGCTCCAGGTCCAGCCAGCAGGTGACCTGCTCCTGGGAGTAGCAGAGGGGGCTCAGTGTGTGGCATGTGCAAAACGTCCACGAGTTACAAGTTGACAAGGACAGGCTGCTCTGCTATGGTCTCCTTCAAAAACTTTATTTTGAGCTGCTTTTAGATTTGCAGGAAGACTGAAAAGATAATTCAGAGGGTTTCCATGTAGTCTTCAGACAGCCTTCTATAATGATTCAGTAATCAGAATCAATCAATACTCAGGAGGCTGGGCCAGGGATTTAGCTCAGAGGTTCTGCTGCCTGCCTCGAAAGCACAAGGTCCAGAGTTCAATTCCTGGTACCAAAAAAAAAAAACTTGTAATACTCAGGAGGCTGAGGCAGGAGGATCACCAAGACTTCAAGGCCAGACTGGGCTACCTAGGGAGACCCTGTCTCAAAAAAACAAAACCAAACAAAAAACGAACCCAACCAAGAATTAGCATTGATGTAATGTTACTAAAATTCATGACCCAGGGAAGCAAACATTGTAGCAGTGTAAGAAGTTTACTTCGGTATAATGTTGCTGTAATTCAGAGCCCAGTGGTTAACACTGTCACCGTGGCTTCAGTAACTAAAACTAGAAAGCCCTGTCTTGTCAGGGTGCCATGCGACCTTCAGGTGGTTCTGAGCCCTGCCACTGCTAGTGATTCCTTGGTGCTCCCCTCTTTCGTGTGCCCGGCCATTCCTAGAGATGCTGACTGTCCTTCCCCAGGCTGGTTCTTTCCCATGATTGAACCCAGGTTGTCCAGGCCCGGAAAGGGCCCTGACAGCATCATGCCGGGGCTCCAGAAGTTTCTGACCTGGGAGGATTTCCGTTTTCTCGGCCAGTGGGGCTCAGTGTTGCTTGCACCTGCGTTTGGTGCTCTGGTTGCTCTTTGTTCCCCACCGCCTGGAACCACACAGTTCAGGGTGTGGAGGTTCTGGAGAGGTTATGCCACCAGGCAGGGCAGTCGCCCTTCTGTCCCCCTTCTCCGGGTTGCCGAGCAGTTCCTACCATGTCCTTCTGTGTGTGGCTCCAGCTCCTCTGCCTGGAGAGGCTCCGGAGGAGGCACCGCCAGGGCCAGGCAGATTGAATGGGGAAATGCAGTAAACTTGTCCTTACTTTATCTCTATAATTTCCTCCTTTCCTAAGGCCTCCCTTGATGTGAAAGGGATGGTTCAGCAGGTGGGACACACAGACCCGCCTCCCCGTGGTTTCCAAGCCGGCATCTGCAGCCAGGCTGAGGCGCTGGGCATCTTTAGGTGGCTGAGAAGGTGCCCCGTGCTGCTCGCTCCATGCTGGCAAGGGCTGGCACTGCAGATGGTGCCCACCTGGCTCAACCTGTGCCGGGCGCTGTCCTGGAAGCCAGGTGGGTCCGCTCACGGACCAGTGTCGCCACCAGGCTTGCAGCCATCAGCCCCTCCCAGGCCAGCCCCAGCCACTCAAAGCCTGACTTTTCCCCTGGGAGACAGAGATCTCGCTGTCCCTGCTGACTCCCAGGGATGAGGTAGGCAATGCCAGGACAGGGTGAGGCTAGAAGTGTGTCGATCATGTCGCTCATGGAGAGCTGGTCCTAGGGAGCGCAGGGCCTTGCTCGGGTTTGCCCCTGCCCGACTGCTCCTCGGCCCTCTCCCAAGATCCAGGCTCAGAGTGGAACTGGGTTGCTGGCTCGGAGTCTGAAGCAGAGGTGGGTGCCTGGGCTGGGTTTTCAGCCACCCTGCCGGGGTCACCGGACACAGGTGGTCAGGACAGGAGCTAGAGGAGGCCTCCCTGCTGGGCTCACCTGGGGCCTCAGGAGCTCAGCTTATGTTTAAAAGGACAAGACTCGGTCACTTCGCCTCCGCCTCCTTGGTCCTCTGGACAGCTCTGGTCTTCGTCCCTCGTGGCCACATTCATTCAGCCCACACCACGGGGAAATCTGTAAATGACAAGGACCTGGAAGAGACCTAAGCTGACCAGAGCCATGGTGGGGTGTGAACACTGGGACTGGAGCAGCGGGACAAGGGCAGGATGCCACACAGGCCGCCCCGGGTTCCTGCGCACCCACTGCCCGGGCTGTGGGAGAAGAGAACGGGACACCTCAAGTGACGGGACAGCCACTTCCTGGGCTGGGCAGAAAGCTGGCACCACACAGGGCAGGGCCCTCAGAGGTGCAGGGTGAAGCCACTTCAGAGGCTCTGGTTCCTTCCTCCTGCCGTAACCCTCAGCACTGGGCGCGCCCCTCACTGGTGTTTGCTTTGGTTTGGGTTTTTTTATTTTGTTTTGAGACAAGATCTCTATGTAGTTCAGGCTGGCCTTGAACTCAGTGATCCTCCTGCCTCAGCCTCCCAAGCGCTGAGGTTACAGGTACGCACCACCGCAAACCTCCCCCCCCCCCACTGCCTTGATTATACTGTCTTGGGCTTTGCTCCTGGCCTTCTCCCCTGTGAGCACTGAGCAGGCCTTGGGGTACAAGCTGCTGAGAGGAGCCTTTGCTGATGTCTCACTCCATGGGGCCATCAGAACATACTGTGGACCTAAATTACAGTAAAAGACACAGTGCCAAGGACCCCTCAGAATCCTCCCTCGTTGTGAACACACTCATCACACCCTTCTGGCCACTTTCTGCAGCACCTCTGCAGTCCCCTTTCCTGAGTCTTTATGACATGTGATCAAAAATAGTGACTGCTGCTGCCGAGCGTCATCCAAGGAAAGGCAGCTCATAAAAGCATGCCACTGTGTCCGCATCCACCTTATTCATCGGATCTGGCACCGTGTGACTTCCGGCTCTTCCCCAGAGTCAAAATGGCCATGACAGGGAAACGTTTTGAATCCATTCAGGACATCGAGGCCAGCACAGGACAGGACAGACAGCACAGCTAAAGACACTCAGGAAAGGGGGCTCCAGAGCCGCTGCAGGAAGAGCCCAGGACAGTGGAAGGAGCGTGTTGGGAGTGGGGTGGGGGTTCTGAGAGAGGTTCATGGCAGTGTGTCTTTAACTACAGTAACTTTTAAAATTTAGACATTCATTGTAGTTTGCATTTACACCTTGTATTTTGCTAAATTTGCAGCGCTTTACAGAACGTATGCAATTATCTTTTAAAGAAAGGCAGCAACACCTCTGGCGTCCCCTCTTCACGCTGCTTCTGTCTTCCAGGGCCCACTGCGCCTCTCCTTCCAGCAGGACCCTCGGCCGCAGCCCCTGCAGCTGGCAGTCTCAGAAGTGTCCAGTGTGGCCAAGTCATCCCAGGAGAAGGTAAGTGGGCGCTCACTCACTGCCTGGCCTTTCCCTCCAGGAGGAAGTGGCTTGAAAGCTGGGGCTGGGAGAGTGCAGTTTGTTTTAGAATTGTTGACACTGCAGAACTCTTATGCCATTAAAAAAAAGCAAAGTCTGAGCTATAATCCCACCACTCTGGGAGGCTGAGGCAGGAGGAGGGCAAGTCTGAGCCCAGCTTGGGTGACTTAGGGACCTAGCAAAATTCTGTCTCAAAATAAAAATTAAAAAGGGCTGGAGCCGGAGCTCAGCATGAAGGCCCTGGGTTCAATCCCCAATAACAAAATAATCATAATACATTCTGGCGCATCACGGGTGAGTTCATCTACAAGGTGGTGGCTCCACATAAGCACAAATTACCCAGCCTTAAAAGGGGGTGGGGTCCTGATGCGCCCCACCACAGGCGGACCTTGAAACGCTGAGCCCCAGAAGCCAGAGGCAAAGACCAGGTATCTGCTACGCACAGCGCTGCCAGGAGCAGGACTCTCGGGGCTGCATGGTGGCTGCAGAGCTGAGCGGGCTTCCTGCAGGGTGGAGCCCGCGTGGGTGCCGACGTATGTACGTGCATGCGTGCTGGCGTGCGTGCCTGTGTGTGCGCGCAGCGTGCGTGCTGGGTCTGCAGCGCGTGGGGCGCCATCAGCGTCTTCTTGCCGCTCCCAGCCAGCCGCGGAGCTCACGCCTGGACCCCTCCTGGTGCGCGGATCCCAAGCCAGCTCCGCCCGCCAGTCGGAGAAGCTTTTCTTTAACCCCGCGTCCTGTCGCTCGCTGTTTGTTATGTGGTGTGGTCCTTGCCGTCTAACCCCGGGCTCGGCACGTGCCCCGGGTGTGAGCGAGCTTGTTTGCTCGGCCATAGCCGGACGGCCAGCTCCGGGGCCTCCCCGGACACACACGTCACAGCGCGGCCACCCCGTGACCCACACTGCTCTGCGCTGCGGCGTCGGCCAGACGCGGGTGGGCTCTCGTGTGGGCTCCCCCACATGTACGGAGGGAACAGGTTTTAATGATCCACAAGACTCCTCTGTTTCCCTCTATACCTCCCCTAACTGCCTTTCATTGTTCGTTTGTGTTGTTTGAGACAGGGTTTTGCTCTGTAGTTCAGAGTGGCCTCAAACACAGCGATCCTCCTGCCTCAGCCTCAGTGCTTTCCTGCCTTCCGGGCTTGGGCTGCTCTTTCTCCATCCTCAGCCTCCTGTGTCTACCTCACCTGTGTGTGTAATAACACCAATGGGTCTGTGTCTCATTTCTGAGTTAATTGTGTGGCCCATTTGGCAGGCTGTGAGGCAGGGCAGCGGGTGGCCCTGGGGGAGGAGGGAGCGCTGTCAGCCCCCCACCCTGCCTGCTGTGTCCTTGTCGTAGAGCTGTGCGTGCTTTTAGCGCGCTGACCGTTTTACTGTGCAGCTTTGCACGGAGCTGTCTTCAGCCGCGGCGTCCTGGTGCCCTGGAGATTCCAGGGTGAGCCATGGGGCGATGCCTCTCCCGCTGCAGCTGTTAACTACAGCTCAGCATTCCTGACGAGCTAGGGCTTATTTATCTGCCTTCTGAGGCCGGGTAATTAGCTGTCTCCTCTTTCTGAGATCTCAGGCGGCAGACGCAGTTTACCTCCCGACTCTGGCGGGTGTGGACCACCGCCCATGAGTGTGTGCAACCCTGACCCGGGGCGGTGGCCAAGGTGCTCCGCCCCCACGGTGCAGGAGGGCCCCCCCACCCTTTGGAGTGTGGAAGTCACCGAAGTGTGACCAGAGGCCCCCAGCACAGCCAGCACTGTCCGTGTTGGTGGCAGACAGGGACTGCCCCTCCCTGCGGCAGGGAACAGAGAAGTTTCTACTCCGTGTCTTCTGACACTTTTCCAGGTAAGAGGGGAACAAAATGAGTGGGGCCAGTGTAGGCCAAGGAGGCAGCAGAGGTGTAGACATAATGACAGACTGGTTTTTAAGGGCTCTTATTGCCAGAAACTCCACTGTAGAAAGTGAGTGATAGAACTGCATTGCTTTTAGTACAATCACAGTCATCTATGTGCAGATTAAAAGCTAAAACCTGCTGGGTGTGGTGGCTCGAAGCTGTTATCCCAGCACTCAAGAGGCTGAGGCAGGAGGATCACCATAGATTCCAGGTCAGCCTGGGCTACTAGTGAGCTCAAGGCCAGGCTGGACTACATAGCAAGATCTTGTCTCAAACCATCCCCACCAAAGAAAGCTAAAAGCAATGGAGTATTTGTAGGTCTGTGTTCTTGACAACATTATTGACAAGAGGTAAGGGAAGAAGCAGCCCAAGCTGAGCGAATGGGTAAATGAAATGTGGCTTGCCTGGAAGGGGGATCTGACACTGGCTTCAGTGGATTGACTTGGAGCACTATGTTCCGTGAAGTAAGACAACGTAGAAGGGCATGGGGGGGCCGTGCTATGTAGTTCAGGCTGTCCTTGAACTCATTAGTAGCCTAGGCTGACCTTAAACTTGGGCAATCCTCCAGCCTCAGCCTCCTGAGTGCTGGGATTACAGGTGTGCATCACCATGCCCATTTTAAAAGGACAAAAATTGTATGATTCTGTAGACAAGGGTCCTAGCTTCAAGTTCATACAGAAAATGGAAGGGTGGGGCTGGGGGCTGGGTAGGAGGCCGGAGTCAGTGTCTGACGGGGGAGGGGGGGGTCGGAGTCTCCATTTGGGAAGGAGATGGGTGGTGGGGATTGCACAGCAGTGGCACCCGTGCAGTGGGTGTGAATAACAGGTGTGCTTAACACTGTTGACTGCATGCTTAGAAATGGCCAAGATGGCAAATTTCACGTTCTGTGTGATTTACCCAAATAATGCAACTATGAAGCAATCACCATTTATTTTCAAGCATAAGAGTCCAAGTTGCCCATTCTCCCTGCCTTTCTGTGGCATTACGAGGGTCTCCTTAGCAAGCATGCTGGGGAGAAGGTCTAGCTGCTTAGAGGGACAAGTCTGCCTCAGCTGTTGAAGTGGGGGGGACAGGGCAGCCCCGAAAGGTGGCAGCGAGCTGGGAATCTGCAGGGTCAGCTGACAATGCTCCACCCCTTACGCTTTCAGAACAATCACAGCACGGTGAGAGATGGAGGAGGGTTCGCTCTGCGCCGCATTTCCCAGCCGATTCTCATAGTGGTGATAACCAGTAGAGGGGTGTGTGTGTGTGTACATTTTGTTTTGTTTTGCAGTTCAAGGGATTGAACCCAGGCCCTTCACCCTGAGCTACATCCCCGTCCTCTTTTATTTTTTATTTTGAGACAGGGTCTCCCTAAGTCCATAATTTGCCCAGTCTGGGCTCAAAATTATGGACATTCTTTTTTTTTTTTTAGTGCTGGGGATCGAACTCGGGACTTTCCGCTTTCGAGGCAGGTGGTGGCACCACTGAGCTAAATCCCCAGCTTGGCCCAAAATTATGATCCTCCTCCCTCAACCTCCCAGGCTGCTGGGATTATAGGTGTGTGCCACCACACCTGGCTTCTACAATTTTTTTAAGCTTTTATTCTTTCACATAATGAGCCTTCTTCAAAAGCTGTTTGCTTTTCTGCGCCCAAGCTGTGGTTTATCATCCTCACCTGAGCACCCTGGCTCTGTGGCTGCTCTGAGGGCACAGGCCCGTACAGTCTCAGGATGTGAGGCCTCGGGCTGCACCCAGTGCACTCTGCCGCAGCGCACTGTTACTATGGTAGAAAATACAGAAGAGGGTTAGAAGTAGATACACACTCCTCTCTCGCACTGTGAGCTGCGAGGTAATCAGCTGAGTCATGGGTCAGCCTGTTTCTCTTGGGTTTTCCTTACACATTGGTGTTTTTATTCCTGCAAGATAGACCACGCTGCCTTTGTTCTGTTTGTGTTCGTGTTATTAAAGTTCATCAAACATGCCTTCAGAGATCGCCCGGGAGATGCTGGCGAGAACTAGGGTTCGGCTGGGCTTCTTTCCCTCCGTGGACACAGCTGATGGCATCCAGCCCAGACCCAGCTGAGCCAGGGCGCAGTGGGTGGTAGCTAAGCTCCCTGTCTCTGGTGGTACGTTTACCATGTGTTCATCTCCTCACTGTCCTCGAAGTAGAGGTGCTGGGAAAGAGTAGAAGCATTGAGGGCCTTTGTAGACCTCCAGGAGAGCAGCTTTGGGAAGTGGATGGTCAGATGGTTGGCTGTAATGTCATTACAGAAGCAGCACATGCTCTTGAAAGGTGAGGGCGGCGTAGATGGTACTACTTTAGAAGACGGCCCTTCCTCTGCAGGGCCAGGGTCCCGGGGAGCTGATGGCTGCCAGAGATGGGCAGTTCTTTGAGACAGAGTCTCAATATGTAGTTCAGGCTGGCCTTGAACTTGCAGCAATCCTCCTGCCTCAGCCTCTCCTGAGTGTTGGGAATGCAGGTGTGCACCACGCCTGGTTTTAATTTTTTTTTTTTTTTTGTACCGGGACGAACTTGGACCCTTGCGCTTGCGCAGCAGGCGGTGAAACCACCGAGCTAAATCCCCAGCCCCTGGCTTTAATTCTTGAGAAGAAAAGCTGCAAGCTCCAGGCCTGAAAGGAGTACAGACTTTTGATGTCAGCCCTCCGCTCTGAAGCTCCCGCCCCTGGCCTCAGCGTCTCTGTCTTCTCTGACTCAGCCTGGACGCAGAACACAGCCAGCGTCTGAGCTGAGAGCCTGTCCGCCCGAGCAGAGCTTCTGTGATGCAGGGGTGTCTCAGACGGGCTGACCGCGAGTGAGGACCCTACTTCCGGTCTGCTCTGTGCGCCTGCCCCACCCGTGCTCCGTGCAGAGACCCCCTGACCCCTCACAGAGGGGGTCCCCACCCGGCCGGGCCAGGGCTGAGTCAGGGCAGTCTCCGTGCCATCTCTCGAGACGCCTGCGTGGCTCTTCTCTCCTGTACCCGCCGGATGTCCCGCAGTCCGTCCTGCCCTGAGCGGGTCCTAGGACGGTTCGGGGGCTTGGTTCCAGCGGCCGGCCTCGTAGGACCCCCGTCCCAGGTCCCCACGGCCCTCCTCGTTCT